GGTTTGACTTGATGGCAATGCATATGAAGGATCTAACTGTCTGTTGAACATAAGCATCAAACTAAAAATGCCAGTGCAATTTTGATATGCATTAACTGAAGCACTGCATCTGGAATATAGCAAGTGATCATTCTTGTAAGGTCCCAAAATACACTTGAGTCACCAGAATGCCAATGAGAGAGACTCAAGACGAGGCTTGCAAAAAAGCAGATTTTATTTATGGCCAAAAACAAAATACTGGGTGGAACTATATCCAGAACATACAGATACAATGCATGCGAGGAAATAGCCACACCTTGGGGAAGGTATGGCGTCCTTTTATACCCTCAGAGACATCAGCTTAGTACCCAATTCTGGCCTCCTAATTTAGGTTTGTGTATTCCTTGTTGCCCTGCAAGGGGGAATAGAAACTTCCCAATTAGTCATCTTGAGCATTTCTTTGTTTACTCAATTGGCCACTTTGCCCCCTGGCTCTGGAAAGCAGGAGTTTATCCAGATCAAACATAAATTAGGGCTGAGGTGTAAATTATCCCTTTGTTGATGGCTGTAGTTTCAACTGAGATAACGGACCATGCTTTTAGATAGATTGATATGAGTTCAGGTCAAATAGCAGGGACATACGTTTGACAAATACCAGATACATTACAGAGGCTTAATAACAGAATATGTTTGCTACAGGAGATACAAATATACATAATATGTGTGATACAAATACAAAGGCATATATGTATTACAGGAACCTAATGGTTACAGAATCTAGTATACCAGTATATCATATTCTAGTATTATTATATCCTTATTATTGTTTCCCTTCATTCTATTATGTTCTACTCTGTATAGATCATCCTTTGTGTTTTGTACCCAGTTTGGGGCATCCACGCATTTAAAAAGAGCATGGAGAAACTGGAGCAATGTCAGAGGAAGAGTTACCCAGATGATGGGGCTTTGGAAACAAAACGTACGAGAAAAGGTTAAGAGTGTTAGGTCCATTTTGTTTGCATGGGAGAAACTAAGGAGCAATGTTTATAGTGGTTAATAAATACTGCATATAAAGACTGTGTTATCTAAGAAGAGGCAGCAAGGCCCTTTAAAGAGAGCTAGTATAGAGACTTTTCACTTTAGAGAGTCAGTCTGGCTTAGTTGTTAAGGCACCAGGCTAGAAACCTGGAGATTATGAGTTCGAGTTCTGCCTTAGCTATGAAAGCCAGTTGGGTGCCTTTGGGCCAATCATTCTCTCTCAGCCCACAAGGTCAGGCTCAAGCGACAATTCCTATCATAACCAATAGAATTGAAAAAAGCAGATCCTGCACTTGAAGGAAGATGCTAGAAAGGAAAAAAAGGGGGGGGGCGGAGGTAGGTTTGTTCGTAGTTGAAACAAAGAGCAGAGCAAGAAACAAGGATGAAGTTAAACGAGTTTTAAAAGAAACGTGAGGAAACATTTCCTCTTGATAACAGTTGTTAAGCAATAAATCATCCTACCAAAGGATCATAGAAAAATAGTAGATTAATGGCAGGGGGGAATGATGATGATTTTATTATTACATCATATAAATCATGCAAATTGTATGCTTGTGTCCAGCATAGTGATGAAAATTTATAATTGTATCATTGGGACAATGGCATAATGATAACATAGATTAACAACATTAAATTGTAGCACATCATCCACATAATCTTATATTCTGCTTTACTCTTGCCAATTTCCTTAATGCTTTTTTAAAAATATAATTCCATAACCTTATATTTATAGAAACAAATTAAATACAGAAACAGGACATTCTTGATGTTTACTATGACACATATTTTAAGAAGAAATATTGTTTCTTGCTATATTGCTATTGTTAATCAGTTATGAAGTAGGAATTAAATAAAATATGTCTACCCAGAAAGTTGGAGGCAGTCAAAATGTATTTATCTATATCCCAACTTTATTATTTTCACAAATAATTCAAGGTAGCAAACAAATCCAACATACCTTCCGTCTCCTATTTTCCCTACAACAACAACCCTGTAAGGTTATTTGGGCTGAAAGAGAGTGACTGGCCCGAAGCCCCCCACCAGATGGCTTTCATGGCAAAGTGGGACTTGAACTCATGATCTTCCATTTTCTAGCCTGGAGCCTTAACCTCTGGAGCAAATTGACTCTCTTCCATATTCATTTCAGAACCATGCAAAAAAACCCTATCAAAAGCCTTTCCTGCATCCAAATATATTATGGTTGCTGGTTTTTATTAAACAACTACAACAAATCTAATGTCATCTACCTCTGAATGGTCTTATATAAATCCAGCCTGGGTTAAATATACAGTAATTGAAAGAAAAAAATAATAATTTATTGGCAAGGCTAGCATTCCTATTGATGTGTGAAATAGAACTATAATTAGGATTTGTAATAGGATCCGTGCTTTCCTTGGGAAGCATTAAGTTGCATTCATACAACAGGATTTGATCTATAGATCTATTAGAACTTCAGCATAAATTCCAGTAAAATAGAAGGTAAGAGCCCAGTATTTATTTTGTCAATTGGTCCTTAGTATATGCCCAATGCTTAGTATTTCATGTTATAAGGAAAGTCATAAGTAATAACATTAGAAACAGATGACCAGAAAAAAGGGATATTCTATATCACACACACCAAAATAAAAAAGTGATAAAATTGTATTCTCAACTTAACATTAGTCAAGGCATGTTGCAAACATCCCTGCACACATTAATAAGGTGCTATCATCAGTGTTATTATGAAACGCCAAGTGTGAGGAGGTTGAAGAATAAATCACACTACAAAGGAGAACACATTTCTTCTCCTTATAGCATCTGAGATCAATATATAAAACAAACTGCCTAATTAGAAATTACAAGATTGGAAGGGAGAACAGTAGCAGAACATAGAATACTTTCAACCCTCTGAAGGAATTCCAGTCATAAAACCCTAGAGAAGTGAGAGATTTTTCTGCTCTGGTTAGATCAGCTTCGGATGTGTCAGATGTTGTTATAGCAAGTATGGCAAGAAATCTGGAGAAATATTAAAAATCCCTCTAGTGAATCATGATTTTCAGTACACAAAACCCTGTCTTGCACTTCTCTAGCATCATCACTTAGAAATAATAATATAGCTCTTAATTTTCTTTCTACTTTAGCACTGTATTTTCTCAGCTGACTTGATCAGTGACTGAAGTTTATCATCTGTGCAAAAAAAGAAAGGCTGTCATAGGATGGGCCTTAATATCTAACAGATTTAAAAAAAAAAAAACCTGGCAGAAGTAATTCAGTTATTAAGGCTTCCATAAGAAAACAGACAGATATTCTTGTCTTAAAATTCTAGAAATTGGAGCAGTGAAACTCTGAGTTGAAGTATATTACTTGGGCCCTTTGTAGCCTTTAATAATTCTGTTGTGGCCACATTTATGTACTTCTTGTGATTTCTCAAATGACATCAGTAGCATCTAAGCTCATGCTCCCATGCTAACAGAATGATGAATAATTTTTATGTCCGTGCACATCTCTGCGAGATTATAATGTCTTTCTCAGTAATTTCACAGCAGTTGTCACTATGGGGAGAAGGAAGCAGTTGAGGGGTTTTTTTGTCAACAACAATCCTTATGTTTCCATCTCCAATAGCAGTAATTAGATATTAGGATAATAATGCTGCTGGGGATTAATCTTTACCTGCTTCTAGCATTCTCTTGAATGCTGCAAAACATGATACTGTATAGAAATAATTCTTGACTGTGTCTACTTTTGAATTAAATACATGCTAAAAAGCTTGGGCAAAATTTATATATTTTTATTTAAAGCAAATATAGGCGTTACCGTAATATAAATACTTAGGTACACTATAGCTGTACTCATTTTAATGATATGTGGAGCAGTGGATGAATGAGCTTAAATTCTTAGCTTAAAGGTACATTCAAAGACCTGCCTGAGAAAGAGATTCCATAGCATATCACTTTGTTTCTGTTTGCTACAGCTGCAAATCATTAGAACCTTTTCTTGGTCAGCAAAAAGATGAAAGGCTCAAGATGCATCTGCAAACAGCGCTTGTAACTAATACATTACTGATGTCCCAGGTTGAACCTAAAAGTTAACAAGTCAAGGAAAAAATATTTTAAACTATCCACAAATAACAAAAATCAGTTACTATATAAGAGCACTTTGTAATGTTGGGTTACATTTGGGGAAAGTAGTCTTACTATGTTTAGTTTATCTAATTCACTTCTCTTATTCCAGATGCATTGCTTACAAACTTAAGCTATTCACTATAGTACAGAGATAAAAGAGGTTCTTTTAAATACTTCGCACTGACATTTGTACCAAATAGTTGCATGGTGTTTTCAACAGCTGTCAGAGTAAAACTGACAGCTGTTGAAATCTATGAGGTAAATTGGAGGATATGTTCTAAGTTACACATTGTAAGCAAATGATTCTTCTAAGACACTAAACCTATTTCACTCCGTTTGGGTTATTTATTTATATATAAATGTTTATATAGTTGGTCTTTGGTTATTCGGGTTTTCTCCCGCGTAAAATTGGAAGTGTCTTGGCGACGTTTCGACGAAGTCTCATTTGTCATCTTCAGGCTGGTGTTTTCGGCTTCGTGCTTCTAGGGGCAATGTGTGATCGCAGCTGTTTCTTCCTTTTAACTGCCAGTGGGGGTGTGAACTGATTGGGTGGGTGCTTGGCTGTGTTTTGATTGGGTGGAGGTGTGTTCAGATTGGTTGAGGGTTTGGCTGTGCTCTGATTGGATGGGGGGTTGGCTGTGCTTTGATTGGCTGGGGATGTGTTCTGTTTAGGTGGGGGCTTGGTTGTTTATATAGTTATTGCAACATTCTCTATGGCCCTCTTGAGCCATTGAATTAATAGTTGTTGCACACCTGAAGATATACAGTATATCGTTTTGGAGAAACATTTTTTTAATGCTATCTGATCATTTTTGTTTAATTATTGTTATAAAATAACACAATGAACACACAATATGATCCAATTTAATTCTTTTTCTGTAGGGGGATAGCTCCTATGTGAAGGACCGCTGGTGTGTATTTGATGGATTCATGGTATTTTGTCTGTGGGTGTCCTTAGTTTTACAGGTAATTATATTTCATTATAATAAGGGCATCTCTGCCCAAGTACTGAGTATTGAGTTTAATTTAAAAATCCTCTGATTGGCTTTTCTTCTTAAGCAAACTCAATTGTCTGAAACTTGGTATTTGAATGCCACAGAGTGTACCTAATAGGATCTGTTTTATTTTTCCTGTTATTATTAAACTTGTATGCTGCCTGACCCCCAATGTCTCTGAGTGGTTTACAACAATCCAAACAAAGAAATTACATTAAATCCAATTAAAAAGGAGAAAAGAGATAAAAAGATGATAAAAATGACAAAAAGACAGAATGGAATAAAGTTAGGAGTCCTACTCTCCCGCATTAGGTCTTCACTGCTCTTCTGGACAATAGAAAATTGGAGGACATTCAGAGCTCAGAGGGAACCTAATTCTGGAGGGCAGGGGTTCCTACATAGAACGTTCCTACATAGAACGCATAGAAAGTTCTGGTAGATAACATTGCTTACTCAAAGGGGACCCAGAATTCATCAATCCTGTAAGACTGAATCACCTGGACAGATATCATGAAAGACTGGTGGCCCCTCAAATAAATAGGCCCTAGGCCTAGGATATGTAGGGTTTATAGGTCATGATTAGGGTGAGGATTTCTATGACCTAAAATTTTAGAAATATGCAGTTTATTGCTTTAAAATTATTTAAATATGACCAATTAAACCAAAAGTGTGACTTATAAAGCAAAAATATGTCTTTATAATTTTTCTGAAATTAGCACTAGATTTTTGAAAATCTGCTTACACCTACACACAAAATATAAATTAAAAGGTTTATTGTTTTTCACTTCAAGTGCTATGATTGAAGGAATCAAATGAACATTTTGAGAATAAAACAATCGTCTCTGGATTAGTTTTCATTAGCAGCAGAATTGCTGTTAATTGACTATGTGCATCTTGAGGTTATCAAATTTAAAAAATTCCTTCTGTTGTCCATCAGTATGTTCTTATATCTAGAAAAAACTCGGTTCCACATCACAAGAGGTTATAGGAGCAAATTTGAAAAAAACAAACTCATCTGGAGAAAATTCTGGCCCAAAGTCTTCACCTCTTGCTTCAAGTTCATTTAGAACACTACTTATTTTGCAAAGTGTTGAATAACCCAGATTGGATTGCTGCACCCTCTGCAGTGTATCACTAATTTTCTCTTTACTTGCTTTAGATCATTGTCAATTTATTTTACAATGCTCAGTGGATCACTAAATCTATTACTAAAATTCCAAGCGGATGATTGCTCTTGATAATCCACTGAAGTTAAATCCTATATAGGCTAGGTTTTCAGCCAAGGTTTCATAAAGGGAATTTTGCACAATTTTGATGGAGGGAGATTCACAACAATCAAATTGTTTAACTATCCGATTGCAAAGAAGCATAATTAGTGAAATAATACAGAGCCACATCCAGCCAAATCCCCCAATGTGTCACAACAGGTTGGGGAGGTAGAGCCAAAATAAGAGCAATTTCTTTGAACTTTTGTTCAACGTGGAGCTTCAATGATTTTTCCCCCCATTATCTACATCATGATAGTTGCTTTGAATATCTTCGGCCACTCTCGTAAACCATGTGCACGGCATGTGATATGGATCATTTTTGGATAAAGAAATTTAAGTTTTTGGCTGCTTCAGTCATGTATGGAGTGGCATCAAAATGTTACAAAGAGAAGGATATTTCACCTTTTTACACCAGCCAGAGTAGTTTCATAGAATTGTCAAAGGGCACAGCAATAGTGAATTGTGTACGTTTTGCAGAATTTCAGATGTTAGAAGAAATATATCACCAGGCTTGTCACATTTCAGAGTGCCAATAATAACACTGGCTATATATCTTCTGTTTTCAGCACTTGTTTCATCTGTTGAAACCCTGATCTTATTGTTGTCAACAGCAAATCTTATCTTTCCTACCATATCTTCAAGGCAGGCAGAGATATAATTTTTCCTTAGAGTTGATTCATTTGGAATCGAATGACTGTTGTAGTTCTCAAAAAAAAAATGTCTGGAGCTACCACTACCTAATTTCCTTAAGGGAATATTTGAAGTAACCATCATTGCACAGAGATCCTTACAAAATTCTGACTGGGTATTTAGAATAGAATAGAATAGAATAGAATAGAATAGAATAGAATAGAATAGAATAGAATAGAATAGAATAGAATAGAATAGAACAGAACAGAACAGAACAGAACAGAACAGAACAGAACAGAACAGAACAGAACAGAACAGAACAGAATAACAGAGTTGGAAGGGACCTTGGAGGTGTTCTAGTCTAACCCTCTGCTTAGGCAGGAAACCCTACATGACTTCAGACAAATGGTTATCCAACATCTTCTTAAAAACTTCCAGTGTTGGAGCATTCACAACTTCTAGAGGCAAGTTGTTCCACTGATTAATTGTTCTGACTGTCAGGAAATTTCTCCCTAGTTCTAAGTTGCTTCTCTCCTTGATTAGTTTCCACTCATTGCTTCTTGTCCTACCCTCAGGTGCTTTGGAGAATAGTTTGACTCCCTCTTCTTTGTGGCAGCCCCTGAGATATTGGAACACTGCTATCATGTCTCCCCTAGTCATTCTCTTCATTAAACTAGACATACCCAGTTCCTGCAACCGTTCTTCATATGTTTTAGCCTCCAGTCCCCTAATCATCTTTGTTGCTCTTCTCTGCACTCTTTCTAGAGTCTCAACATCTTTTTTACATCATGGCGACCAAAACTGGATGCAGTATTCCAAGTGTGGCTTTACCAAGGCATTATAAAGTGGTATTAACACTTCACGTGATCTTGATTCTATCCCTCTGTTTATGCAGCCTAGAACTGTGTTGGCTTTTTGGCAGCTGCTGCAACACTGCTGGCTCATATTTAAATGGTTGTCCACTAGGACTCCAAGATCCCTCTCACAGTTACTACTATTGAGCAAAGTACCACATATACTGTACCTGTGCATTATGAGTTATCAGGAGGGTTGCCAATGATCAAAATATAACCAAAATACAGCATTTCTTACAAAATTAAGCAGAAATTTTGAGATATCTTTAAAAAGTCAAAGTATGACTTTTCCAGCAAAATAAAAAGCATCTAAGTCTCATGTTGTAACTTTATAAATTCAAACAAAGGTTCCAGAAAAAATATGACATGTCATAGAAATCCTCACTCTGGCCATGATCATCACTTTGAACATACTCGGAAGCAAATTGGCAACCTGAGAGCCACGGTGGCGTAGTGGTTAGAATGCAGTATTGCAGGCTAATTGTGCTGATTGCCAGCAGTTCAGCAGTTCAGCAGCTCAAGGTTGAGTAGCTCAGCCTTCCATCCTTCCAAGGTCAGTAAAATGAGGACCCAGATTGTTGTTGGGGACAACATGCTGACTCTGTAAACCGATTAGAGAGGACTTTAAAGTGGTATATGTCTAAGTGCTATTGCTAGTGCAGCTCCCAAAGTAGAAGTGCTACATGGACGTAGCAAGGCATGCTCATCACTGTTCACACCACTGCGTTCTGGAACACTTGAAGGTTCTGGGTGGTCTTTAAGGGCAGCCCCATGTAGAGCATCTTATAGTAATTAAGCTGCAAGGTGCCCACACCATAAATCTGAATGGTCTGAAGGGCCATTTGATCTAGGAGAAGCATAACTGGTGCAGCATATGAAGTGGTGCAAAGCTTGGCACGTGGGTCTTTCTGGAGGAAAACACACACTGTTTTTCCATCCCCCATCTCCTTTCACTGCACTACTGAAACCTATTAGAGTGAAATTAGTTGGGCAATCAAGCTACTACTAAACTAAAATGTAATGCTTTTTTAAAAACAACCTAGATCAGTGTTAATTACCTAACATTTTGAGATATGTACCAGTTAGATAAATTGTGTACTTTTGAGTACTCTTGCTTAGACACTATCTGGAACTAAAAGAGAAAAGTTCTACTATTGGTCTGCATAAGGCTTTCAGATAAAAAATTCTTATCAGACAAAACCTTACATAGTTCAAAAAAAAAAAAGATTTATCTGTATATAAATATATCCAACTAATGAAATGCTCCCATCAGAATAATTGATAACAGCACTGAGATGTGTTATGCGTTACACATTGCATTCCAGATTTAAATGACTCATTCTCTTGTCAGTATTTAAAAAGAAATTGAATTTTACCAGTAGGTATGTGTACTAGAGCTTGTTACCATTATTTGATTTTGCAGCCTAACATAGCTTGCTCTCCACATAGAACTCTTCCTCTTCAGTTTAGCCTAGAGCAATTCTATCATGTGAGCACTGCATATCAGCAAAGACATCCTGTACCTTCTGTTTGACGACTCCAATAAACCAGCATGGGATTGTCTTAGATCAATATATTCAAGGTTCATTCATATTGTTGAATGAGACCATTGATGTTTAAGCCTGCAGGATAATCAGTTGCAAAGAGAACTTTTTAACAAGCATGGGAATCCTCAATTGAACAAAAACACTGAAAGTCAACCATGGAAGTGTGTTGTTCCTGGAAATTATGGTGTTTTGCAGAAATAATAATTTAAAACTAGCAGAAGGAGACTGGCATGATTAGGAAACATCTGAGAGAAAAAGGCATTCCTTTTCTTCCTAGGTTTTTGAAATCGCCGATATAGTGGATCAAATGTCTCCTTGGGGCATGCTAAGGATCCCACGACCACTTATTATGATTCGAGCATTCCGAATTTATTTCCGCTTTGAATTACCAAGAACGAGGATAACCAACATTTTAAAGTAAGTCTGTTCTTTGTCTTTGATTTTAAAGTGTAGCTTTGGTAACTTTTTAGGCACAGCTGTATAAAAATATATCGTGAGTGGGAGACTTGCCTTCAATTTCCTATTATCCCATATGTCTTTGCTTACTTTATTTATCTTTGCAGTATGGGTGAATGATTGGGGAATTTCCAGGCTTATGCAAGTACTCCGAGAAGGAAAACAAGCATTTTTTTAAAAAAAATTACCAAAGGCCAGATTGGTTTCTCAACATACTGTATATCATCAGTTTTCCGGTTTTCAATAAATATCTTAGTTTACAGAGTCATCGCTATTAATTCCTTGGGCACACATTTTTTTTATATACATACTTAAGATTTTAAAAATAGGTTAGGGAGATTCACATCTGACAGTATACAAATTGTTCTAAATTACAGTCCAGTGTAGTTCAGCATCTGAATTCAATGCAGTATTTAGAACAAAAAAAAACAAACAACAACCATAATTCTCTCATTCTCACTTGATAAAACAGGTGATTAATCTACACCTGCAAAGCCTTTTCTGATGGATCTGAAGTCTTGGAAACTTTGTCCTACTTTTTTCTTATTGTATATACATTTAATGCTTATCACTTTCATTCTCACTTCCTTTTTTTTTTTTTTTTTTAACTAGGCGTTCAGGTGAACAAATTTGGAGTGTTTCCATTTTCCTTCTGTTCTTTCTGCTTCTGTATGGAATTTTGGGGGTCCAGATGTTTGGACCTTTCACATATCATTGTGTAACAAATGATACAAAACCAGGGTAAGTCTCAACCAGGATTTTTCTGTGTGTCTCCCTTTATCTCTCTTTCTAAAGGATTATTCACTGTCTTATTTTGTATTTGAGAATTGGTCTTGACGATGAGACCTTGAAATGTGAAAGTGTTTCAGTGAGATTTGATACTTTAGCAACACACAGTTTTTAAGACCTTTTGGCGCTATGTAATCTTTTAACAGGGAACCTGGGAACAATAAGTTCTAATTTCTCATGAAACATAGTTGTCAGATTGCTGTAAGCATATGCAACAGTGTCTGACAGTGTTGCCATTAGGTTTCTAGGGCCCTTAGGAAATGTATTCTGCATGAATAATTTTATCAAACACAGTGTTGTAGCCAGACGGGAGGTGTTGTGGTGGGATTCCTAGAAAATTCGTACAGAAATGAGAAAGGGGTCAACTAAATTAGAAAGGGCTAGCAGAGAAACAGAAACAGAAACAATATTCTTCATTTTAGTTAATTACACCTTACATCTTAAATGCAGCTGTTTCTAATGATGTTTTTAAGTACTGCTAATAAAAAGGTGTGATTCTTTCTTTTTGGTATCTGTATTTCTTTAGCATTTTATTGTACTTTACTGTTTCAAGCTTAAAAACAGCCTGAAATATCTGTTACGAAGTCTGTAATTTGATTGATTGAACTGTTCTGTTAAGAAAGTAGTGCATACATTACAGGGGTGGGTTCTGCTTACCTTTACTACTGGTTGGCAATGGGATCGCGCACGTGAGTGAAGCCCCCCCACTCTTCTCTTCCCATTTGGGTGATGGATCCCTCATCCTTTACAGCCCCCCACCCACCCCCGCGCTGCTCTCATCAGCCTCAGGAGGCTCCGAACTGACAGGCGAGCAGCTCGTGGCGATGCGAACCAGCCCTTGTCTCAGACCCTTTGGACAAAGGGGGGTGTTGTTGGCCCTCCTGCACCTCCCTCTGAACTGCAGCCCCCGCTCTTCCACTCCCAAAGCCCCAGAGTCCCTGCACCAATTGGCTGGCTGCAAATTGTCCTGGGAGGCCAAAATCCTGACGCGAAATGTACTTCAACAAATGGGCCCCGGCAAAGGGACTGGGGCGTAGGGGCTGTGGCCGATGTGCCGTGGTGAAAGACTGGGGGCAGGTCAGCCAAGGAGAAAAGTTTGTGGTTAATATTGCAGAGACGAAAACCTTAAGGTGAAACAGGCAAGGTGAAGAGACCGAGGCAAAAAGTCCTAGACCCTCCGGGGCAGTGGGCAGGGCCTCCCGCCGGTTTTACTACCGGTTCTTGCGAACCTGTCCTAACCGGGGGCAACCTATCACTGATATATTATCTGAAATGAATAAACGGGAGATACATACAAGTAGTCCTTGACTTACAGCCATTCATTTATTGACCATTCAAAACTATCATGTCACTGGGAAAAAATGACTTACAACCAGTCCTCCCACTTCATCATAATCACATGATCAAAATTTGTGCACTTGGCAATGGTTTGTATTTACAATGGTTGCAGCATCCCGGGATCATATGATCACCATTTGGGATCTTCCCAGCTGACAAGCAGAATCAAATGGGAGAAGCCAGATTCACTTAACAACCATGTGATTCAGTTAAGAACTACAGTGATTTGCTTAACAACTGTTGCAAAATCCAGCATGAGTCACTTAACCACTGCCTTGCTTAGCAACACAAATTCTGGTTTCAGTTGTGGCTGTAAGTTGAGCACTACTTGTATGAAAGTTCACACTGCTTTATTCAGCTTCTATAGTTTTGACTCCAAGTCAGCTATTCTTCCTCTTGGATTTCCCAAGTGTGGCAAGATACTTGCAGTGGTGAAATGTTCAATGTTAAAATAAACTTAAATAGGTTACATTAGTTTAACTGTATGTTTGAATAAATTCAGCACAGTTGAACCCATTGTTTTACAACAAGATTTTCAAAAGCAAACATGCAGGTTACTTCTGCTGACTGCCGGCCAACTGCAATTTGGCAATTCAATCTCACCAGGCTCAAGGTTAACTTAGCCTTCCATCTTTCCGAGTTGGGTAAAATGAGGACCCAGATTGTTGGGATATATGCTGACTGTATAAACCACTTACAGAGGGCTGTAAAGCATTGTGAAGCGGTATATAAGTCTAAGTGCTATTGCTATGCAACTAAGTATTCCATTTTCTGTGATTCTTCTCTTAATTTTACCTCATTGTTGCTTTTAGGCTCCTTCCTTTCCCTCAAAGAGAATTCCAAATCTTGCTAGCCAATACTCATACTCATCCTTTTGCTTATCACTAAGCTCATTACTTTTCTTCTGAGGCAGTTATTTGTCTATCTGCATTATACTGTTGTCTCTCTGGGTCCTCTTTCTCACTTTCTAATATGCAATATTTTGTTGCTGTTTTTTTTTTTTTTTAATTTGATTTATATGCCGCCCTTCTTCGGAGACTCAGGGCGGCTTACAATGCGTTAAGCAATAGCCTTCATACTTTTGTATATTTTATACAAAGTCAGCTTATTGCCCCCACAAACTGGGTCCTCATTTCACCTACCTTAGAAAGGATGGAAGGCTGAGTCAACCTTGAGCCTTGGAGAGATTCGAACCAGCAGTAATTGCAGGCAGCTGTTAATAACAGGGTGCTTAGACCACTGTACCATCAAGGCTCTGTTTTGAGGGCTTTGCCATGGTTTATTTTTATTAGCTGCTTGCTTGTTCATATTTGTTTAATCTCTCTGAAGGAGCAATGCATGTTAAGGAAGAAAGACTTTTAAAAGTAGCATAATAATGTATTTAATAACTAATGCCAGAGCGAGCTGGACTTTTGGTTTTCTATCTTAGTTCCTTTATCATATCCATATTGACAGAATTTCAGCTCCAGAACATGTTAGGCTCTTTTCTTTTGTTTTATTTTCACAATAAACTGGGAGTGAATGGATGTGCCAAGAATTTCACTGCAAATAGGAATTTGAATTAGGAAGTCTCAATCCAACACTTTATTCCAGCTTTCCCTAATTTGGTGCCCTGCAGAAGCAATGGAACAAGCACTTCCCAAAATTCCTACTGTTCTTTCTACCTGCTGTTCTTTCCCTTAAGTATTTTTATTTATTTATTTATTTTTATATGCCGCCCTTCTCCGGAGACTCAGGGCAGCTTACAATGCGTTAAGCCTATATTATTTTCTACAATCCACATATTAAACAAAGAATGAGGTTACAATAAATGATGGCCAAGGCACTACAATTCTATAAGATCTCTTTTTATTCTGTAGTCTTCCTCCATGGTCTTAAGTGAATTGTCCTAAATCTAATATTATTTTCTCAAGGCTGATTAACTTAGTCCAGTCACTCTTAGTCCTCAGATGGAGAAGGAAAATAGATAGGATTACTCCCAAATAAATGACTTAAAGGGATTCATTTATCTTCCCTACTGGTTTGCAAATGTGAGCGCATGCGCCACCTCTGTGCATGTGCAGTAGTCGCGTGTTACGGGTGGGTGGGCGGAGCCTCCCGCAGTCGCCGCTACCGGTTCATGCAATCCATACAGAACCGGCTGAATCCCTGGGTATTTTTTCAAGTAAATCACTTGTCCCTTTCTGTCATTTTGGCATTTGAATGTATACATAACTTATATTAATAGTTTTTTCCCCTTTTTCCTCACTCTCCTTCCATGGATTGCCCTACAGTAGATTTCAATTTGCTGAGGGATACATCCTTTTGATCATTTCAAATCCTTTTTCTATTCTCTTGAGCCATTATTCCATTTAAAGATGATGATGTGTGAATTTGATAAAAGAGTGTTCATATTGTTTTCTGTTCCCAGAAGATCAGAAAGCTTTTCAGTTGATAACTCTGTCTCTATCCATTATTCCTCAGTTACTCCCTGGCACCTAATTTTTATACAGGACTGTCATTTCTGTGCAGGCAACGATTTGGATGCTCAAGGAGGTAAAGGTGGAAGCTAACCAGATAGTTTTTCCTTCTCTTTGTACACTGCCCAGATAGCATTCAATTTGACTAACTGATTTTCTTGTCATCCCAATAGAAACATAACCTGGAATAATTTGGCAATCCCAGACACACATTGTTCAAAAGCATCAGAAGAAGGTTACCAGTGTCCACCAGGATTTGAGTGTTTGGACCTTGAAGAACTGGGGTTAAGCAGGCAGGAGTTGGGCTACAGCGGTTTTAATGAGATAGGTATGTCTATCTGATTACAATCTATTTCCAATGCCTATTTGAAAATGCTTAGGAAATTTGTAGAAGCTACTCTGAGCAGATAGGGTGTTGATGTACTAGGAAGGAGTACAAATTTGGTATTTCCCCCCTCTTTAGTATATTCTTCCTGATTATTCAAAATGAAAATTGATTATTGAATACATAGTTAATTCTGTGCAATTCAACTCTAATTTCCAAATTCCAGGTGATCTTAGTGGTAGAAATTTTTCACTGATGTTACCTTCTCTCAAACTAAAGCCAATAGCAGCTGTAGAGTGCAGCACTGTCCAGGAATGGAGAGCATTGGTGGTTGATTCTTAATCGTTTCCCTCCTGGCTTTATTTTCACCTTATATGAAGGTGACAAAAGCTATTCTGGGTGACTGCAATATTCTATTGCAGTTTGGAGATGTCATGTCTAATTCAACCCTTAAAATACATTCTAGTGACACTGTCATGAGATTAAATTTAATACATTAACATTTTCCTTAAAAACACAGCCAAAATTGATGGACAGAAAGCAGCATATGTGAGTAGAAAATACAAGTACTGTCCCCGATGAAGTCAGATCAGATTACAGAGACAGTGACCAATATTATGTATGACCTGTGTAAATCAGAATTGTTATGATCTGATTGAGATTCAATATTTAAAGATGGTATGATTTGCTGTGAGATTTTGATTTGAGATTTGAGGGCAAATCTATTCATTTCAGCTGTTTGAGCTTTGAGCTTCAATTAAAAAAAATGTGTCTATAAGTTATAATGAGGAAAATTCAAAGCTCCTAAAGGAACTCCTTATTTTTCTAGAGTAGAATGAAAATCTCAGGGACTGTAAATTGTCTAGAAGAAATTAATTTTGTCAGGCTTCAACTATATTCCACAATAATTTTAAGATGTTCTCCCTGTAGCTTTCTGAAGGCAGAGATAGCAAAGATGAAGAAATGACTATATCATTCAGTATCCAAATTATCTAATCCAAATGTTGGCCGGACCAATGAATATATCTGATTCCAGTTTAAAAATACAATCTTTCAAAAAAAAAAAAATCTTTAGTTTTCCACTTGTTTTTCTGAATTACTGTGAAGAATGTTAATTGATTTGTCTTTGTTGTACTAAAGTGTTGTACGTTGTTATTTCTGATTACTGATCTCTGACTTTTCTTGTATACTGGGGGTTGGCATAGCTGCTTAGCAAACCTATTTGTGGGTGGCAGGTAAGAGCTCTCAGTTTGACTTACTGGCAAAATGTAGCTTTTTCTGCAGGGATGGGTTCCGCTTACCTTTACTAGTGGTTCGCAACAGGAGCACACACGCTTCTGTGCATGCCCAGATCGTTCATGATTACGTCCGGGCGGGTGGGCGGAGCCTCCTGCCGCCATTACTACTGGTTCGCAAGAATCGGACCAAACCAGGAGCAACCCACCACTGCTTTTCTGGCCTAGATTTGGAAGTAGAACCATTGTTTGTTTCCGTGTGGGTGTATAGTTTATTGCCCCTGATGGCTTAGGTCTTTGAGGATGTCAGGAGGATTAATACAATCAGTTGACAAATGTGGCAGCAAGACTTCAGTTGTGCTGGAGTTGTGGCTTATTGGCAATATTCTTAGTGAACTGGTGGAGGCAACTTAAGCAGATTAGTATAGTGAACTACAATGCCATAGAGTAGTGATTTTCAACCTGTGGTCCACGGACCCCTGGTGGGGCTGCAAAGTCATCACAGGGGGACCGCGAAGGCTTGAAGAAATGTTATGATTTAAGTCTTGAGAGTCCGTGGCCATTTCCATGGCTACAAAAGATAATTAAAGGGTGTCCGTGATGAAGAAAAGGTTGAGAACCACTGCCATAGAGCTAGGGCAGGTAGGCTGCAGTTAAAAAAAAAAGTTTGAATAAGAAAGAATAAACAAAATTTGTATCCATGCCATTACACCTCTTAAAAGCAGTAAACATTAAGGCCTTCACTTTTCATAGAAAGAACTGATCAACTGGGAACAGAGTTCCCAGTTGCGTTGATAGGCTAACCTAGAAATATAGCTCTCAATTACTATATAGGACAGGCAAAGTGAAAGCTTGTGGCTGCCCATGTCAAAAAAGCTGGCCTTTGGCTAGCTACAGTGGAGGCCAAAATTGTGGAAACCTTTTGGGAAAAGTGTATTTTCTAAAACTAGCTAATAACACCATTTTTGTTAGAGTAGTACCATAAAATCATATATCAATGGAAAGATAATTTAATCAAGAATATAATGCAATAACTGTTATGAAGGATTTGCTATTAGAATAGCAGTTACAGTATAAAGAAGAAAAGTGAAACACGTAGAAAAAACGAGATATACAAAAATTATCATGTCAGTTAATTCTTAGTTGGGTAATCTTTAGCATGAAATACGGCCTTACAACGTCTTCCCATGGAGTGAACCAAGTTTTTTAGTTCTACAGCTGTTATAATGTGAAACCAAGATTGAATGATTGCTTCCATTAACTGGGTTTTATTGCTGGGTCGCTTCTGACTAACAAGTTTCTTTAGTCAGCTCCATAGATTTTCAGTCGGGTTAAGGTTTGGGCCATTCCAGCAGTGGAATATGATTATCATGAAACTCAAAAAAAAAAAAAAAAGTAGTGTTATTAGCCCTCAAACCTCAAAAATACACTTTTCCCAAAAGGTTTCCACAATTTTGGCCACTACTGTACTTATATCAGAGCCCCCGCATGCAACATATATGGAAGTGAAAGTGCAGCACATATGTTGTCTGCAAAAATTCCAGCCAAAACAGCGGAAAAGCCAACTGAATGAATTTACTGTTTCAAAGCAGGTCCTTCTTTCAGTTTCCAAATAAGCTTTAATTGGGATCATCTGATCAAAGCTTCCCTTCAAGACTTTTCACAGCCCTCCTCTCAGCTTCTCTCAGCCATTTCTCTGGAAGCGGTGGAGTTCCTAGTTTTCTCCTCCTACATTCCATTCTTGCCATTTAGACCAGCGGTCTTCAACCTTGGCAACTTTAAGACTTGTGGACTTTCTCAACCTTTTCTTCACCACAGACACCCTTTAAATACCATTTAAAGGGTGTCCGTTCCATACCATGGAAATGTGGGCTTTGCTGGCTGAGGAATTCTGGGAGTTGAAGTCCACAAGTCTTAAAGTTGCCAAGGTTGGAAACCCCTGATCTAGACAGTGAACCCACTGTTTTCTAAACGACCTCTGCAAGAGACGTCTATGGAGATTTTCAGTCATTCAGGTCATGGTTGTTCCAAAGGTGCTTTTCCAGGAGACAGAATAATGCTCACTTGCATAGAGATGAGAGAGAAATATATGCTCTTCTCCTCAGGCCTCATCTTGACAATTTCTCAGCTGTTCTTTCACACTGTACTGATCCTGATGTCTCCCAGGACATCTGAGCAAGAGAAAGAAAAGCATATGGATTTGCACAAGGGAGAGAAAACACTTTTTTAACAAAACTCACATTTTGACACTTTCCCAGCAAAGAACCCCCATCTGTACTTTTTACCAACCATTGTCTCTGGCAGAGTGGTCCCAACAGCATCAAAAATATCGAAGAAACCCTAACCCTAGGAGGCAGAAAAATCTGGTTCTTTGTATATAGCAGACAAAGAAATTAAAAACTTCTCCTGAATGTTGCGACTTTCCCTGTCCACTCCTTCAAAGAACAATAACGCTTCTAACTTTTGGAGCACCCGAATAAGAGGCAAAAGAATGTAGACATGTGCATAAAGGAGAAAAGATAAGTTAAGATTTTTTCTTCCAAAACCTCATTTCATATAAGATGTTCTAATTTTAAATTTTTATTTTTTTAAAAAACAACAACAAAGTTTTCTAATTTAACCATTGTATATTATTTGTTATTTTTTTAAAAATTGGATTCTCCTTTCAGAGGTCCTGTGCTTTCTAGTTTGGCACAGCTTTTGGGATTGCAAGGCACAAAAATACCTTAACTACGTGCATGATATAGACTTGGGAAAGTCTGGTAGAGGACAGCCAGACAGTACTGGAAAAAGATTCACCTGCTTTAAGGATAGGAGCTACAGCAGAGATGGTATTCAGCAGGTTCTGACCAGTTCTGGAGAACTGGTAGCAGAAATTTTGAGTAGTTCAAAGAACTACCAATACCTCTGACTGACCCCGCCCACATCTATTCTCTGCCTCTTGAGTCCCAGCTGATCGGGAGGAAATGGGGATTTTGCAATAACCTTCCCCTGCCATGCTCACCAAGCCATGCCCATCAAGTCATGCCATGCCCACCAAGCCACACCCACAGAACCGGTAGTAAAAAGTTTTGAATCCCATCACTGAGCTACAGTATGTGAGCACTCTTGCACACTCCAAAGTATATTTTGCCTTCCAATCTGTAGCACTGCATCCCTCTACTTTCTATAAAGGCAGCATCCTAAAGAAAGTAATAACTGACATGCTCTGACATTTCAGTATATACTATATAGCCTAGCCTTATATCTAGCCAGGCCTAGCCTTTGGTCCATTATAAATACCTTTTTAGTCAAATACTGTGAGCCAGCTGTTTTGATTACTGTATACATTATAAAGTTATCTATTCAGAAAGACATTGTTATGTTCATTGTATTCCAACTTATTAACTGAACATCTTAATTATGTTGTTTTATATGCAACAACAATAACATTTTCACTTGTCTGAATAGATTTGAAATGATTAGCGAATGAGAAAGAATGATTGTGTGATTACATTTTTCAGAATTATGATTTAATTATATATAACTATGCCTATGAAAATAACCAGAATTCAGAAGATCTTTTTCAACAAAACAGTATTTTTACTGTTTGAAAACCACATTTTGGTATACAGAAGTGTAAAACTAAGTGGAAGTGAATTTGCTAGTCTTTTAACTTTGATATTATTAAAAATTAATTCCTTCTCTAGGGATTCCATTATTGCAGTGACCAAAGAACAGTATTATATTTTTGCTCTATAAGTTTATACTACAGAATTGTAAAATATG